AACATGCAGCGCAAACATGCAGCGCAAACATGCAGCGCAAACATGCAGCGCAAATATGCAGCGCAAACATGCAGCGCAAACATGCAGCGCAAACATGCAGCGCAAACATGCAGCGCAAACATGCAGCACAAACATGCAGCGCAAACATGCAGCACAAACATGCAGCGCAAACATGCAGCACAAACATGCAGCGCAAACATACAGCGCAAACATGCAGCGCAAACATGCAGCGATAGCTCACTTCACGAACATGCTTCTGGTGAATTGATTGAGCGTCATACTCGCAAGAAGTTTATGGTGATTAATTGACTTATATCCAGTATTTACAAGTCAACATACCGGCTATAATAACGCGGAAACGTAATATATATAGTCACATACACGAATTATTGCAACTCTAGAGAAATGTATTTTGTAAGTGAATAATTATTTAAAGTCATTTGATGGAACTCGTGTCTTAGATGCTCATCCTTCTAAGGTTTCTAATGAAATGATTTGCTTATTTAATGAGAAATTCACTGAATTTTTTAAAAACTTTAACTCCTCATTTAAGAGGAACTTCAATCGAGCCCTTAACATTTCATCGAGACATTTAATTAATGCACAAAACACTGACTTATTCTGAGTCGTATCCAGCCATCCCTCATGATATTCGCAGCCGCCCCAGCACCGGCCACCCGTAAGCCATTCATTGGCCTTCCTTCAGTCGCCTCTAATTTGCCTTGTGCCCCAAGAATACACCAATCGACGCTTCATAAATTGCCACAACAAAACTGTGAACATCAATGTTATTTCTCTTGAAATTTGAGGCTAGAATACAACTGCAGCAGCTGGACTTATCAGCATAGGGCGCAGTAATAACTCGAAGTAACAGCTAATACCGATGCAGTAACTAAAAGTAAAAGATGAAACAGCTGCAATAACGCAGAGTACAAACAATTGCAGTTGTTTTACGCAAGGTCACAATGATCACGTGCGATATGATTGTGGCATACGCATGAGTCATACGCATACGCATGAGTTATACGCATACGCATGAGTTAGACCTTGCCGAAACGTGCGGTATGAAAATTTCCAAATGCAGTAACGCGGAGTAACACCAATTACACCTGAAGTAATGTAAAGCAACAACAGTTACAACTGCAGTAACAACAATTACAGCTGCAGTAACAACAATTACAACTGCAGTAACAACAATTCCAGCTGCAGTAACAACAATTCCAGCTGCAGTAACAACAATTACAGCTGCAGTAACAATTATAGCTGCAGTAACAACAATTACAGCTGCAGTAACAATTATAGCTGCAGTAACAACAATTGCAGCTGCAGTAATGTATAGTAACAAGCAATGGAATATATCGTTCAGTGTAGAGGGCAGGTGCAAATCAAAAAAGCTAGTTCTTATTGCCGTCTTAGCAATGGAATATATCGTTCAGTGTCGAGGGCAGGTGCAAATCAAAAAAAGCAAGTTCTTCTTGCCGTCTTAGCAAAGGCCCGGCGCACGCAAGGCCTTCACAGTATCAAATATCATTCAGAACTCAAGGCAATAATCTGAATTCACGAGCTCGTGCTCAAGGCCGTAGAAGTTGGGCAATGAAACGAGTGACCCATTCATAAACTAGCAAGGAAAAAAGTTAATAAAAGGTGCTTAGTCTGTCAGCACGCAAACTGAAGAGTTATTGATATGTCAGACAGGTACAGTTGAAGCGTTCACAAAAGGTAATTAGTCTTCCAGCACGCGAACAGGCGACTTATTTGATATCTAAGGAGGATGGAATAAAGCTTGAGCGTTAATAAAAAAGTGAAATTAGTCAGCCCGAAAAATAAAGAGTTATTAAGGGTCAGAAAGTAATAAAGTTAATATTAATAGGACCAATTTTTAGGCATTAAGAATAATAGATTTTCTTATCAATAATATAGGAATATCATTGAATATTTGAGAAGAAGTGTGTATGAATTACATTCTCTCTTTAGTCATGACTAGAGAGGATTAACTTATAAAGCAGCCTGTGATGGTATTGGGAATAAAGGAATGAATTAGATAGCTTTGCAAAAGCTTGGCGGAATTATTACTCGATTTGAATGTTCCTATACATTGAAGATTGGAAATAGTAAAGCGATGCAAACAAAAAATTCCCTCAAAGTTAATATAAATTTCAAAATATATCCGACGTTAATCAGGCGTTTAATTCTATTAATTATAATTAATACTTATTATTCACTAGACGTGATAGAGATTGATGAAAAAGTACCAGACCTGAGTCAACATGGACAACACCTCGTGAAAGATCACGCGATTAAGACCTCATTACTGGGCGGAAGCCGTGATTCTATAAAAGGGCTGGGACCCTTATATAGTCCCCCCGGAAGCTGACATGTACGCCGCAATGTAACTTGCGTTAGAACTACTCCGACCAAACGGTCGACGTCTTAGCCTTATGCCACTATAAAACTCTCATATATTACCACCCCGTGTTAAACCAAGTTCTCAAGACAGATGGTGTCTTAGTTATCCATAACGCACTTAGTCAATGAATCCCTATTCGCAGGTTCAGGTAGAAATATATAATAAGTCTGGAGGCGCTTGAAATGTGCATCAGGGACACATAACTGAAACCAAAAAAAAAACATAACTAAAATGAGCTTGGCCGGATCAACAGTGGGTTAATTAGTCAACATAATATAGGCGTCGAATGTGCTTACGAATTTACTCTGTCTAGATATACTCCACATGATTAATATAATACTCGTTGCCTGAATGTACTCAACAGTCGCAGCATCCCTGCATTAAAATGGGTAATGTTCTCAAGTGTAACTAACGACTACGCTGTAGCAAGTCGAGTTGGCTTGAGATAAGAAATGGATTGAAGGCTTAGACATTGAACACAATCGAAAACACTGCGCAGAGCACTTGAAGTCCCGGCTCGCTAAATGGTCACGGAAAACATCAAATATTCTTCTGGTATTATCACGACAGGAAATATGGCGTGTAATACACGCCAAACATTCCATAGGTATTGTCACAGCAGTCATCAAACATTCCCTCGGTGTTGTTATGGCAAACATCAAACATTATCTCGGCTTTTCACAGCAGACATCAAACATACCATCGGTATTGTCACGGCAGACATCAGACATTCCCTCGATATTGTCACGGCAGACATCAGACATTCCCTCGGTATTGTCACGGCAGACATCAGACATGCCCTCGATATTGTCACGGCAGTCATCAAACATACCATCTGTTTTGTCACGACAGGCATCAGACATGCCATCGGTTTTGCCGTATCGTCCACTCACGATGCGATCTAAGTGCCCCAGTTACGGGAATGGCTTCACAGCACGACAGCGGTTAACGATGGGCCTTGCATTGGTGGCCTTCGGAAGGTCAGGTATTGACTTTTTTGAAGTGCACTCACCTTAGTGAACACTTTTGAAATTAACACAACTGACAAAAAACACATTTACGTACACACCTCAAACATGAACACATTTACGTTAGCACCTCAGACGTGAACACCTTTAATGTGAACACATTTGACATCAAAACGTTTAAGGAGCACTAAAATATACCACCTTTGATTATTTCAATTGGTGCTGAACTTGTCCATGTATATTCCTATTAAGAGTTTTTGTTCTCCTTAACTACTGGCCAGATCTCACCTGAATGCTTGACAAGCTGCGGCAGGAAGGACTTCCAGAAGGCGCACTCCTTGAGTCTCGGTCCCCTCCCCAGGCCGGACTCCTCCCCGCTCAGGATGAGGTACTCCTTCGTGGCTGGGGAGTACAGAGGCCACTTGGTCTTGGCGAAGGAGCGGTGGTCCCCTTCACTTGGGTTCCTGGCGAGGAAATTAGGGAATTTTTAATAAATCAGAAAAAATTGGGTCCATCCTCTCAGAGACACAACCAATTATCTTTGATTCGGTCATAATCATTTTACAGCAAAATTAATGGAGGTATGTTGCTCATTTCACGAAGGCCTCAGTGACTTAAAGAATGAATGATATTAAAATCATAAGAAGTGATGAAGGGTATATTCAAGATCTATACTGAATAAATCATAGAGATAATAGAAGAAGTAGTCTCATCTAGGACAGGATCGCCAGGAGAGAAATTAAGAATGTGACTAAAAATTTGTCCATTAGTTATTGCTGGGTTTCCAGAAAGATAAAAAATTCATTCTACTGCGATATTGATTACCGTCTGATGATCTCCTGAAATCAGATTTATAAATTAATAATATTGACAGAAGTTATCTAGATCATCTATGGGAAAAGAAAGTTCACTGGTTGGTGCTTCATGATTTGCATGCAATTATGTAATTTATATAATTATTTTTAAAGCAAACTGGCTAATTTTAATTAAAGAAGTAATAAACTCCGCCAAGTTTCCCGTTGACCGAAAGATAAAATATTTGTTTGGACATAATTATGAGGTGGACTTGATTATAACGCTGGTGGTTACTAGTCACTTATTAAATATAACTTCCAGCAAGATTAGAATAGTAAAAAACGTTCTGAAAAATTCTTTCCTAGAGATTGTAGATTTCTTATCACTCCAAAAAGAACCACAATTTACATCACTGAGAATCTTACTAAGTCAAAGCGAAGCAAATTTACCCCAGCAAGTCTACTTCACGTGATTAAATATACCGAACAGAACCAATTCTGATGAAATGTCCAAATGACGTCCTTACCTGTCAGAAAAATTTCTAATTTACTCAGTTTCGATGGAAGTCATAATCTATAGAGAAAAAATAAACTCACCCAGTTTTGATGAAGTTCCCCCAGTAAGTCATCATCTGGCGCGATAGGTCTTGCTCCACCTCGGTAAAGGTTGTGTACTTGGGGTTAAGAGGCTGGCCGAATAGGAAGCTTATTTCATCGGCATGAAGAACACCTGTCCACTTGGGCCATTTGCTGCCACTGGACCTGTGCTTGAAGTAATACATGTAGACGTTGTTGCCGCTCTTGCTGTAGTACTCCGCAAACTCGTTGACGTTGCAAGTGAAGTGGTAATCGCCAATCATTTTATCGATGGCATTTCGATTCTTAGCACCGTCTTCGGGGTCGATCCAATCGGTGTATTGGTACATGATGGCTTGCAATATCAACTCGTTGAAGTACGGGAACAAAGCTCGGACCGACCTCTCAAATTCTGCTCGTGTGATCAACACATTTTCTTCGCGACGGAACAAACTGGGAAGAAAATACATGATGAACCAGTAGCCTTCCTCCGTGTTACTTCCCATCAAGATATTGCACTTCTTAAAGTCGCCGTTTCTCAGGTATTCAATGGGCAATTTATCGAAGAAGGCCCCGTCGATGATTGGGACAAACGGGAAGTCTGTCACCCCGTTTGAAGTTTCACTATTGACTAACTCAGAAGCATTTTTTGATCGCAGACAGTCGATGACAACAGATGGATTACTCATGTCGGTGGGGCAGCCCACGGCTTCGGCGAGACGTTGACCTCTGAGCATGTTTTCCTTTTTGCTCATTATACCCCAGGGAACAGTCGCGGACCCCGACTGCATGATTGCCTGACTAAACAAGTTACGGGAGAGGGGAGACAACAAAAGCATACTGATGGATGTCGCGCCAGCAGATTCTCCCATCAATGTTATGTTGTTCGGATTCCCACCAAAGAATTCAATGTTGTCTTTGATCCATTCTAAAGCCATTAGTTGATCGAAAAGCCCTGTGTTGCCTGGCACGTCGGGAGTGCCCATGTATAGGAAGCCTAGACTCGCAATACGGTAGTGAGGAGCGACTATAATCACGTTCTGGTTGTCAGCCAGAGTGCGGTAGTCGTACACTTCGAGCGAAGAGGTGCCCGAGTAGAAGCCTCCTCCGTAAATCCAAACCAAAACGGGCACGTTGGTAGGTCTCGGTTTCGGAACTATGATTGAGAGATATAAGCAATCTTCACTCATTGGGGTATTGGCGTTCCACATTGTCGAACCTTCAAAATTTCCGAAAAAGTCGTCCAAAGTTTGCCAACAGGAATTAGGGAGTTCTGTTGCATCCTTGACGTCGTGCCAACGGTCGATGGGGATAGGATGTCTAAACCTGAGGTCTCCCACAGGGGGCTTGGCAAATGGGATGCTGTACCATGCATCAACTTCGCCACCTAAAGCCGTCTTTACGGTTTTCCCTTTGACTTTCCCTTTCCTTGTGTTGACCACAAGAGGGTCGTGCAAGGCAGATGTGCCCAGCGTGAAGACCAGCGCCAGAACCAGATACCTGCACCACATTGTGGTGGCCTTGCTACCTTCCTGCTTGAGAAAAGGAGGAAAACCGCACTTGAAATAACAATACTGTTATTATGTCCAACTTACCGTATTGTTTCAAAAAATTATATATTTTTTAATTTATTGCATGGTACCGAAATATATTTAAATTCTTAAGAATTACATTGTAACTCCCGTTGCGAGAAAGAAGAAAGGAAATATATTACACGTATGTCGTAATAGATTCTCATGTCTGTGCCTTCCTAGAATCAATTTTCTTGAGTAGCCTCAACAAGGCTAGTTACTTGCGAGCCTACGTAGAATAATGTTTGGTTAAAAAATAATCGTTCAGTCATGTACGCCTAAACATTCATTATGATCGCAAAAACCACATGCAGAAACAAGTGAAACGTGTAGGTAAGACTCGACACTCAAATACCTATTAAGTTCCTCTTTTTTAAATTTTGCAAAACATTACCAAAATTTATAGTCTTTGAATATTATCTTATGGAAGCATGAATATTTTGAAGATAATTTTTCGTGCAATTAACAGATTATTCGCGATGATTTGTCATAAATTTCCAACAAACTTCAGGGACGTACCACCATTGACCATATTTTTCCTCATAATATCGGAATTTCTCGAAGCATTTAGTTTTTGACTCTTATATTACTTTAAATCTCAGATTTACAATTATAAGTACAAACGACCGTGACTCAGTGAAGAGAGCTATTAGGGCGATGACCGACTATTTGCCATGCCCAATTCGTAAACAATTATTCTTCTAAAATCTCTAGGACATTGGATGTGCCTGAATTGGTATCAAAGTGTCGCAATGAGTCAGACCAAATGAGATTATATTTAAACAATTATTAAGAGTGTTACCAATTCATGCTCTTACTTAAACAATTGTGATGAGGGAGGCCAAATGAGATCACTTCTTGAACAGTGGTAATGTATCACACCAAATTAGATTACTACTTTAACTATTCGAATGGACCTGACCCAATGAAGCTACTATTTAGGCAATTGTAACTGGTGTGGTTTTGACTCGATTCCATTCATTTTACGACCAGCTGATGTTTCTTCCTAGCCGTTAACACAAAACTTTGGGTTATCGCCATGACTCTGACCTGCGGAAGTTATCTTGCAGATGTAATTAGCTGCGCCTGAAGGAGAAACAACTGTCAAAGTTTCATAACTCGTCTCGACATAAAGTTTAAATTGTATCTTGGCGTAGAATTTAAGAAAAAGTTGATTACTAATGATTTTTTAAATTCGATTGAATATGATTGATACTAAAAATATATTTTCTTTCAAATATGTTAGCAAGCAAATTGAAAGATAAAACTAAGAATTTCCGACATACTCGTTTTATTAACATCGTTCCTGGAAACAATGTAATTCCATTTTTAATGAATCTTCATTTTTAATAAAAATATTGAGGATTGTTACAGGCTGTTTCTAAATAAGAGGGCAAGTACAAATCTTCCCCTCTGAAGTATTTAATGAAAATTCTAATTTCGTTCGTGTCAACTGGTAAATTATTCTCTTTTTGTAGTTTTTAATCGTTAGTCATCAATCTGGTCGTTGATCATCTGATGTCTAATTCTCTAATCATTATTTCATAATAATAATCTCATGTATACAGTAATACTATCACTGGCAACTGATGATCAATTTGATTGATCACTATTTAATTCATGCACAGTACACGCAAGATAAACAATACAGTAGGTAATCTCCCTCGTCAGGTGGTCGTTATTTGAACTGGTCAATGGGAAGACTGCGATCGAGAATAATGATTGTTATACATAATAATATCCAAGGTTATTACAGGAGCCCTGAAGGTCAAAGCAAGCCACCTTTAGCAAAATTTATCAAAAGTTATCCTCGTATTTTGTCGGTGCCGGGGAGCGGCAGTCAAAAAACGAACATAATAACAAATTAGAGCAAAAACAACATTTGAATGAATTTATTCAAGTTGTTCATTGAAATATAAAAATTGTTACATATCAAGAGCTTAGCTTCGAAATCTTCAATGGTATTTTTTTATTATTTCTCACTTTCTATCCCAATTGTCTTTTCCATGTTGAATTTATAGTTTTTAAATCACGCAACGAACATTTAGACAGCCCATCTTCTAGAATCAAACACAGGTAATAAATATTCATTAGTTTAGCACGCATAATTAATGCATTATTCAAAAAGCTTAGAAAAAGATAGCAGAATAAGCTTGTTAAAACACGAGTGGTTAATGACCAGAGAATTCATTGATTAAAATTCAAAAAGCATAAACGGAACATCCTCGAGAAGGGAAAAGGTAAAACACGCAGGGACTTTTGAGTCATTCATGAAGCTCGCCAGCAACAATAAGTCAGTATAGAGTAGCGCGCTGTTCACCATGAGGCCAACGATCGTTCCTTCACACAGAATTTCACTCATCTATCTTTTGTATATCTCATCTATCTTTTTTGTATCGCAGCGAAAAATTTTTGTAAAATATTTTCAAGCAAAAGACGAATGAATTTTTTATCTTTCATATAAAATGTGGTTTTGAAGGGGCCTATTTTTAGCGCATTTTCTCATTTATGGAAAAAATGCACTATTGTGCTCGCCATGTCCGTATGTCCGTCCATCTGTTTGTCTGTCTGTCCGTCCGTGACTTCACATTTTCGTCGACGAGTAAATGCTGTCACTCACTGCAGTGAGAACTGAGTAATATATTTTATAATACATACGTTTTCTTATTATTACGTGGCTGGCCTGTTTGAGGCCATCAATGGTGACACGCGACTGGCCTGTTTGAGGTCATCATTTAAATGGCTGCAGTCGAAGCCCAAAATGAAAACTTTTTAATCTGAACTCAGTCATACATTTGTGCATTAATTTCTATGACCAACTCTCAAACATATCAGTAAAGTGAACTGAACCCTTTATTGCATAACTCAAATATTGAGCCAAATTTTAGTGTATTTATTCATTTTATTATTATAACATTTACTGTGCAGGAAAATGGAAAATTTGTAAAATGACCTTACCGGTACATTTCATTTGTACCGAACATAATTCCTTTTTAATATTCGTATTAGAGATGAAAATGTTTTACATACATAAATAAGTTATCTCGAATGTATTTTAATGACAGATTTATAGGAAATAATGAATTATTTTGACATTCTGTTCATTTCACTGTTAATTGACCTAAATGATGAATTTTATTACGCACATAATAAATTCTACTGAGTAGTATATTTAACTGACGATGTAACAGTACTAATAAAGAAAAACCTTAAATATAATATTTATATTTATAATATTTATTTATATGTTATTTATAATAATACCTAATTATCTTCTTCCTAAGAGTCGATTCATTTGAATGTTGCCTTAGCTTGCTGCTGAAAATAAACATTAATAAAAATAATAATGCTAATATATTAATGCTATAATAAGGAATTTCCCCACATTTGCATCATCCTTTTCATTTTTGAATAAAGAAAATCATTTCAGATAATACAAATTTTTTCGCGGTACAATACGCGAGAAAATCTTGATATCCTTTCGTTTATTTGTCAATTTCCAATCGAGCAAAATCTCCCGCATGGAAGATGTCCAGTCTCTGCAGGCCGGAGACATGACAGGGCTTGGCCAAGCCAATATTTGTTCAACACTTCCAAGTGAGGCTGGGAGGACAATCCTGGATTATTGCAGCGATTGTACACTTCCAAGTGAGGCTGGGAGGACAATCTTGAATCAAGGCATTGACCGTAAACTCGATAACGATCTTGAGTTTTTTTTGCGATTGTCAAGTTTAATTAAAAAATTTTCAATTTATCAAGTCAAATGCTTGCATAATCGTTAATGTCGGCACGAATTAGCACTGGAAGCTGAATATTTCATCAAAACTCACATAAAACTCAAAAAGTTTCAAATTAAATCCGTCACCGATTGAGTGAAATTCTCGATGGAAGAGTGAATTTTTGTAGTATATATGGCAACGAAAACATCTGTAGAATAATACAATTTAGTTCTGAAATTAAAATCTCCTTTTTGAAGAAAATATACTAGGATCTGATGCCGAAACGAAAAGTAAAATGCAAGCATCATACTCATAGAAAAAATTAAAACAAATACAAATTGCGCACTGAATTTAAGAAGCAAGAGATGAGTTTCAAAAAATGGGAAAAATTCTTCCTGTATAAATGTGTCTAAGCCTTAAGTGAATAAACTTATCTTATATTCCATTTCTCTGGCGAGGAGCTTTTAATATTTTCAACTATAAATTGTCAAGACAAGCATAGTGTCTATTCATGACAAATTACATGAAAACTTTGATACCTTTCCTGCTTGCTAGACAATGTCTTCACGGTGCAGAAAAAAATTTGGTCAAAAAGTCATTAAACTATTTCTGTGTTGACATTTTGTCCCTGATAAAAATACGTTAATTCTGGAAGGTATTTTTAATTGAGCGTGACATTTTCAAGGCTTGCACAGTGGACGGCCAGCCATGGGTTCCTCATGGCCACCCATGATGCAGCAAGGATATTTTTAGAACTGAAACTCAAACAAAAAGTATGGCTTCTCATGGCGCCGTCTGGGGCCAAGCGACCAGAGGCTTTTGTTTCGTGACAAAAATATTATATGGCCCAAGATTGCGCCTCTCAGAATAGGCTTGAAAGTTTTTTCTATATATCTATTGAAAATATTTTTCGTGTTCCTCAATCCCTCGGAATAAGTTTCGGGTTTACATTCTTTTCGCTCCGCAATATTTTCGAATTTCACGCGGCTGCGGAATATCCGCGTGTTATCCCCACCGCAAATCCGCGCGTCACATCAATCCCGCGGAACGCGGACTGGTCGGATTTTACAGGCTTTTTTCCGTCACGCGATGCAGCGGCGGCCAAAACTATTCCGACAATTCGCCCACCGCCGGAAGGGCATAACGGAGGAGTCGTTCCCTGTTAATTTTACTGCACTCTGTGGGTGAGCTTTCTGTACTATTACCATTTATTATTATTATTGATATCATTACCATTTATTCATTGTTACCCACTCGAATATTAGGAATAAATAAAATTGATTATGCTCGCACAAGGGTTGCCGTTCATGTGAAAAATGAATCGAGATATAAATTAATAATTTTTAATAAGATGATAGGTTGTGAATCCTATAGATATGAATTAACGCCCAACTTTCGTTCATGATACTCAAAGCAACACAAAGTTAAAAAGAAAATGAAACAGTGGTACGCCATTTTTTGTTTCAATAATTGAAGGCTTCGAGAATCATTTGTGGCCTTTATGTGGTCACTTGATCGTAGTCGACAACCTGAAAACTATTGATGTATTTATTTATCATCTGATGAAAGAAATTATTGACTGCAAACCCTGCCCATATAATCAATCCATGGTCATCTAAACTCTTTCCCCGATTTACTGTAGACAATTTGATTAAGTTACCGCTCATTGGCAACATAGCAGTTGTTCAGGAATTACGGTTAACTAACTTAATCTTTAGTATCCACTGTACCCATAGATTAAAATCAAAGTCGAGAAATGTACATGAAGGCAGTTATTTACATTGAAATACATAATTAGTTAATAGAGGACGATTTACATTGAAATACTCAATTAGCTAATAGAGGACGACAAGTTCGGGAGGTTCTGATGTACAGTAATACCAAGCGTGGGAACGTGTAAGTGAGCGGCAGTGGCCCCCGGACGAGGCCCGCAATGCGACACATCCCGTCTGCCGCTCCCACAGCAGTTAAAGTTATCGCCATATCTCGGGAAACCTGGCTGGTGTGAATGATTGATTGCACGTGAAATACTCCATCAACGCCACCTTATTTGTAATAGATGCATTTTCGTATTGTTGCAAAGTTATCCCAAGCTATCCCGGATTACACATCTTGAACTATTACCTGCTATTTCTCATTTTTAATCAAACTTAAAATAGAATATACAATAACTTAAAATACAATATACTTGAAAAAGCTTTCGGTCAAATATGTTGGTGTGTGTGATTGTGTTTAAATAAATAGCTGGAAATTTATTTTGATATGTTATAAATCACCGTCGTAAAATCAAGTTAGCAGGTGACCGTTTTATCGATTGCCTGCATGTAATAATCCTAGGAAGTCAACGAATATTTGTGTTCATAAACTCGGATCCGCTTTA